TTTCTTTCATTCGCTGCTCGGCATCATACATGACATTTAGAAGCGGTGGTTGTCGATACGACTGTTTTTTTATAAACTTTGCAATCTCGCCGGGAAGTATATTTGTCTTAAGGTTACAGAACACCTTTGAGTGTTAATTTTGCCTAAAATTTTTTTAGTGGTTTCCATGAAAACATTAGACTAATTCTACTATCTGACCAAGTTTGAACGAAAAGTGTTGAAAAATCGCAGAGTTATTTAATAAAATACATTTCGCTGCAATAAGAAAAACATTGAAAATGTAATATTCAAATTCAATTTTCTCCCGAAGAATTTTACGGTAATTACCGATTTTCAAACGAGTTATTCTCCTGCGGGTTTTAGCCAATTTTTCTCAAATTTTCACAGGACATAGCTAAAGACGTCAGTTTCAAAATTGTGTTCGGCTTTTTTTTAATTTTGGATATTTTAATAATAAAGAGCAATTCACTCAAATAATTCAGAAATATATTGCAGTCGTCAAAGAAATCGCCATATCAGCGGAATGACGAAATAAACAAAAATTTCCGGACACAATTTTTTATAACAACTATTTTGCTGTATAAAAATGATATTTTCATAAATATAACTTCAAACCAGCAGGAGCACAACTCAAAAGCGTAACGGTACTGCGATTTAAGATTTTCCTGAATAATTCTTACATTATTTTATTGTTTGTTAATTTTATAACTTGACCATATTTTGCATGTACTGGCTAACATTTGGTTAAAATTTGATGAAAATCGGACTGATATTGAGCGCGCAGTAGCGATTTTCCGCAAAACGCCAAAAAGGGTGTCCTGTAACCTTAAGTCGATCTTGATCATCAAATACCCATGAGGTCGGCTCGTAGCATCTTCATAACTCCTCATAAATTCTTGTACTCTACCAGGATTTATTTGCCTTGCAAGCGTAGAAATTTGCTGTTTATCTCTTGGTGACTTGAACAGCACAATATAATGGATGTTTAGACTGATATTTCTCATTTCTTTGCCCAGATGGAATATATTTTGAACAATATAGATGATGGACAAATTTCGATGATGACTTCCTTTGGTAAAAAGATCAGCTATACGTTTATTTTTGCCGGATTGTGCCATGAGATCGTCCAGTACGATCAAATTCCGTTGGGATATGTCCAAGTAATCTGCGTTGTCGATATCTTCGGGAATGCCTTGATTGAACTCGATTTCAGGAATCGTCCTCAACATATCAAAATAGGAGGGTTGCCATTGGCCATAACACCAAATGATACGTTGAGGAGCAGGACTAATAGCTTTCTGAGCATTCTCGAAGAGAGATTTCACCCATACAGTTTTGCCACTTTGTGTACACCCAGCTACGATACACGTAAAAGGATGCTGCATAACTGCAGATCCTGCTGAGATTTCAACTGGTTTGCTTTGAATATCTCCATGGGTATTCAAAGTATGACGCTTGAGGTTGCCGCGTGTTGAAAATACTTTGGCACATATGTTGCACGGAAAGGACAAGTTCACACCACGAACGTCTAGCTGTAAGTGATAATAAGTTGGTGTATTCGTTCTATATATTCATTTATGCATCTATACAGTATTCTTCCTTATCTTCCATATATTTATCTTCCTTGTCCTTATCTACATAGATTTATCATCCTTATCTACATAGGATGCTGCACAAACTACGTGTATCGTAGCTGGGTGTACACAAAGTGGCAAAACTGTATGGGTGAAATCTCTCTTGGAGAATGCTCAGAAAACTATAAGTCCTGCTCCTAAACGTATCATTTGGTGTTATGGCCAAAGGCAACCCTCGTATTTTGATATGTTGAGGACGATTCCTGAAATCGAGTTCAATCAGGGCATTCCCGAAGATATCGACAACGCAGATTACTTGGACATGTCCCTTTAAAAGTATAATTACTTGGACATATCTTTAAAAATAACAAAAACACCTAGACGTTACGCTCTTAGAAGTAGACCGTACTAAATTTTGTAAAACGTTTGGAAGAAATAAATGTATTTTAAAACTGAAATCTTGTGTAAGCTTTTGCCTGCAAAGCCCGCTCTTTCCGCCCGCGCGATTTGCCTAGCCCGCCCGCCTGTACAAATATGTTGTACATCAATATATGCATGCACCCAAGCGTCGCTAATGACTGACAACACATAGCAACGTATATAACGACCGCATATTTGATAAAAACATATTTTTTATGGCAAAATATATTACAACTGTTCTAAAAGTTTTTCCTTCAAGTATTCTTGATAAGCTTTCTTTCTTATGTCTATGAGGTTTCCTAAATAACGCTGCATCAATCAACTCTAATGGGTATTCTTGATCCCAATACCACAAATAGTTCAAGATACATTGTAGTTCATGACTCTCATATTGTGATGCTAACTGGTCGCGTTACCTGTCACATTTGGCCCAGGCTTGCCCGAGCGTCCCCTGATCTTGTTCTGTGGCGTCATTGCACTAGGGTTGAAGACTCTCAAAGGAGTACTAAGTCAACTTGATGAATAATTAATCATATTAGCCTCTGCGACGCCCTCGGGGTGACAACCTTGGGTTACCACCATTGCTATAGTGATATATCACCTTGGATACTAATTGGTCGCGTTACCTGCCACATTTGGCCCAGGCTTGCCCGCGTTAATTGGTCGCGTTACCTGTCACATTTGGCCCAGGGTTACCCAGCAAAGTGACGTCATAGATTTTGCATACTAATTATTTCCGGAGCAAAGTGACGTCATTGGCGGCATCCTTTGTACTCCAGATGGGAGGTATCACTACTAGCACAGTGCAGGTGTAGCTCGGTCTTTGAAATGGGCCTTAAGCAATAACTTTAGTCATGTAATGTTTATAAAACGATAACTGAAGAATGTAAAATCACAACTGAAAACTATCTCAACAATGTTGGCAAAGTACTGCACCCACAAGTTCAGCAAATCTGTCAATATTTTCGTCATTTTTGTCAATGTGCTTCTATAGCTGAAAAGATTCGTGCAAAATTTCGGCAGTTCACACTATAGTTTAGTTTAAAATGTCGTTGCAAATTACTAACCCATGACGAACGACCCAGGACGCACGCTAAATAGACAATCTCGTTATTTAGCGACTGCGAGGTCTGGGTGAGGATGAAAAAAACTGTGCCCGATGTCTTGAAAACGGCCCCGAGCCAGGGCGCGAAATAACGGCTGGAGGGTCGGCGGTCAAGGTGACCGGCCAACTCAATTTTAGCTCGGACATACCGAAATTCTGGCCGGTCAAATTATTCAGCTTAAAGCAAAGCCTAGTAAATGTGACCATTTCCCCAGTATAGCAGTACAAAAAGCCTTACTGTAATCAGTAATTAAAAATTCCTTCACATAAAACACATAAAACAGCTTGTACTGTGCTAAAAGCATGGTCTTAGCTCTTAAGCCAAAGGCATGGCCATGGCCCATGGGCTTTGTGACGTACTGCGTGCGAAAACTGGTGTACATTGAGTTGTTTTCCTGCAAAATATTCGACAACATGCATGTTATGGTTCTTAATTATAATACTGTACTTGACCACTTTATTTTGATTATTAATTAAAATGAAGATTAGTTTGTTCTTTTACCGAAAGTGACCGGTCAAAATGACCGGCAAGGTAAGAATTTGACTGGACAACTCCGCATTCTGGCCGGACATTGTCCGTTGACCGGCCGTTATTTCGCGCCCTGCGAGCACGAAAATGTTTTAGCAGATGTAAAATTAAATTCATTAAAACTCCAGTGTTGAATGCGATTATGCGAACCAATTTGAGAACAGTGCGCTGACGTATTTTTAAACCGAGGCTGACAAAAATTGAGAAGTTGAAAGATAAACACGAATAGGAAAACACGTCGAGAAAACTGGCAAGAAATACACAAAAAGACATATAGTTTCAGTAAAAATGTGCATGCTTTCTTCATGAATATGGTAGTAAAAAAGCATTGGAATAAAAAGTTTAGGTCTGGCGTTTTGGCTTTGACAAATTCAGTTGCTTCCAACAACAACAGGTTCATGTTCACTTGCCGATCAAAAACACATATATATGAATCTGTTTTGATTTAATCAACGCTTTTTCTACTGAAAAGACAATGAAAAAGGTATGCTGTTTTTATATTTCCCCTGGCCGTTTCGCGATAATATGCTTGAAAAATGTGTTTTAAACACAGATTTTGACTTTGTTTACAATATTTATATCACTGAAAAATGCATAACACACGTCAAATGGGTAGAGAATATATTCGCGACTTGTTTTCACTGCTGCAGTTAAACCTTCTTTTAATAAGATTGCATGTATGGGGAAAAAACATTTCTTTTACAGTATCTGTTAAAGCTGTATTTTTTTCGCTTTTAAGTGGCCAAATACATGAGCATTTAAAACAAAAATATAGCTTTTTTGGCGTACGTTTTATGCATGTCAAATAACTTTCTGACTTTCAGTCGCATATTTCTCTCAAAATATTGTCAATTTTGGTGTGCATCGTGCTTAGTATGAAATCTTGATGCAATTCATTTTAATTCTGACTATCGTTAGGCTACGTATTTCAGTTTAATAATTGTTTCACTCCTCGGTTTTTGGCGCGAAAACCAGAGCGAGCAGTTGCATTTCACAGTGGGCAGTTATGTTTCAGAGCGCGCAGGATGGAAAAAACCGGCCCGCTTTGAAAGGCTCCTCAGCCAATCAGATCGCTTCATTCTCACTGATAAAAAAAATAAAACTCATTATCTATCTTTTTGTTTAGGTTTATTCAAAAATGTAGTCCTTTGTATCACGTGTATTTTTGACCAACCAACACATAGCGTATGTTTTAGGAAAGTGTCGATCTGTCCGCGACTTGAACAAATGGTTAACTTAAAACTCGACTTTTGCGCAGATATTTTTTTTAATACTGGTTTGTCGTAGAAGTTATATCATAAACTCGAATCCATTATTATATTGCTTTTAAAATACCCAACCTTAAGAGAAAAGTTATAACATTATACTTTGCTCATCTTAAAATAACGTACCATCTACGGAGAAACAATGCTTCTTGTAGGTTTTCTGGGTTAACATGCATCACACTTGAATAAACCAAACTTAGCGAACGACCTGAAACAAGAAATCGTTCCCTGTGAGTAACGGGTAAAGTGGGGACAACCGCATCCACAATTTCTGTGCAGGGGCAAGCGTGTCCAATATATGCAACATTCTCTTACCGCCATAAGCCGAAACTTTAACTCCTTTGATTGCAACAATTGGATTTGAGCCACGATACTGATCAAAGTCTTCCGCCTTAGAGAGATATAAAAATAGGTGAAAATTATAACGCATAAATGCAAAGTAAGACTTATAGGTATTGTAAATACCAGGGTTTTGCCCATCGACACTCGATATAACTAAATGTAGAAGGGTTTTGTACATAGAAATTTCGAGTGTGAATTTTTACTATACAATGTAGACCCTCTTGGCAGAAAAATACAAGTAACAGAAATATACAATTAGTAAAAAATTGGAGGAATGTCTTACCTCTTTCCGCCAAAGTGTACAGTTGACATGAGCGGTTTGGTCCACTAATGTGATATCACGTTTAGAAATCTACACCAAGAAGAGAAATTTATTTAAACATGTATTTAATGTAGCTGATGTGGTCGTCAAGTTACTCCTACTCTACAACATCCGTCAACATTCCTCAAAGGAGGAGAGCGGAATATCTGAAGATCGTGAGTCTATGAATCTTAAAGAACCCTGTCAACATTCTCTGTGCGAAGAAAGCAGAGTTCCAGCAGAACCTGCGACTTTTAACAAAAACCCGCGATTTACGCACGGTGCAAAGTGTGTAATGAATTTCAGAATGCGATGAACGACGCCAATACTACGGTCCGGTAATTCTTTTTTTAGCCACGTACCATGCAGGTGCGCGGAACTCATGTTACCTGCGTACTTACTTTTTGCTGGTACAATATGACTTTTTCAAGCCGTAATGAAGTCAGTATGTGTGAAAGTCTGACATGCATGTCTTGGTATGAAACATGATAGAGTTATGATGGCGTCTACGTTATATATAGCATTAATAGGTCTTACATTCTGTATATATATATGCCCACGTAGATTATCCACCAAACCCAGCATTCTAGTTCAATCATGTGAAGTGCAAGTAACATCTTTCAAGTCCCTATGTTTGGTTTAACTGACCTGTTCACCAGACCTGACCTGTTCCAAGAGCTCAAACGTATGTGAACAAACACCAATCACATCTGAACAAAAATAAACATAAAACTCATTATAATATAAGTGGGATATAACAGGCAATTTCATTAGCTAATATGCGTGCATTATAACGTAATAATGCACTGTAGAAACTGTGGCCTGTGCAACACTGCCTTAGTTTGGATCTTTCAGTGGTGTTTTTTTCTTGTTTTGTCTCGGCTTTCTATAGCCAAAACAATTTGAACAAAATTATAGACTGTTTTAATAAAAAAACATGCAATTTATGCAGGAAAAAATGGACATGCAGAAAACAAAATGCAAAAAGCCAGGCAACAACTGCATACCTCCGGCAGCGAATTAAATTATATATCATGCATAATTATACAATTGGCCAATAACGCATTCAGTCAACTCTGCCAGGCAAAGCGAGACAAACTTTCGCTGATTTTTTATTCAATTTTCATCAAAATGTCACCAAAATTCAATCAACTTGTACTTGGGCAATGGGCTATTCCATTTAATATCCGTACCCCCCCTGTCGAGGATACCTGGAATTCGTCAGGGGTAGAGTGATTTGAGCTTGGAATTCTTCAGGGGTAAAGGATTTTGAGCTTGGAATTCTTCAGGGGTAAAGGATTTTGAGCTTGGAATTCTTCAGGGGTAAAGGATTTTGAGCTTGGAATTCTTCAGGGGTAAAGTGTTTTGAGTTTGGAATTCTTCAGGGGTAAAGTGTTTTGAGTTTGGAATTCTTCAGGGGTAAAGTGATTTGAGCTTGGAATTCTTCAGGGGTAAAGGATTTGAGCTTGGAATTCTTCAGGGGTAAAGGATTTTGAGCTTGGAATTCTTCAGGGGTAAAGGATTTTGAGCTTGGAATTCTTCAGAGGTAAAGGATTTTGAGCTTGGAATTCTTCAGGGGTAGAGTGTTTTGAGTTTGGAATTCTTCAGGCGTAAAGTGTTTTGAGTTTGGAATTCTTCAGGGGTAAAGGATTTTGAGTTTGGAATTCTTCAGGGGTAAAGGATTCGAGCTTGGAATTCTTCAGGGGTAAAGAGGTTTGAGATTGAAATTTTTCAGAGTTTGGAATTCTTCAGGGGTAAAGTGTTTTGAGTTTGGAATTCTTCAGGGGTAAAGGTTTTGAGGTTGGAATTCTTCAGGGGTAAAGAGGTTTGAGATGGAAATTTTTCAGAGTTTGGAATTCTTCAGGGGTGAAGTGTTTTGAGTTTGGAATTCTTCAGGGGTAGAGTGTTTTGAGCTTGGATTCTTCAGGGGTAAAGCATTTCGAGCTTGGAATTCTTTAGGGGTATAACTATGAAAAACATGTATCCTCGACAGTGGGGGGTACGGATATTAAATGGAATAGCCCATTTAAACAGATACAGGTAAAATAAACTCATTTATAGTATAAACTTACTATTTTTATTTGTATACACGTCTAGAAAATCGGGGTTTTTATCATAAAGTTCGAAGCAACACTATTATTTAATATGTTGACAAGGTGTAGCGAAAGCACAAAATGAGTCAAAATATATACCAAAAGTAGAATCTTTCATGAAATTTTGTCTTATACACAACTATATTAATATATATTTTCTCAATTTTGGCAAGAAGCAGTCTTGTGTTTGTAAAATATACAAAATAAAACGGATACATATATTATTAGCCCGTACAGTACTGTATATCAAAATGTACATTGTTAACAAATGGTATATCCGTAATATTTGAACAATAATTTCAAAATCCTCATTCCCAATTCGCAAATATAGTTATTCAAAGCAAAACAGTAGATTGTCTTGCGAATAAAAGAATTATTATTTTGTGCCGTTTCGCTGCACCTTGTCAACATATATAAATAGTGTTGCTTCAAACTTTATGATAAAAACCCCGATTTTCTAGACGTGTATACAAATAAAAATAGTAAGTTTATACTATAAATGAGTTTACTTTACCTGTATCGGTTTAAATTCGCTGTTAAGTTGCAAATAATTCTTTTGAGAACGCAGCAATTGGGCATTTCGCAATCAGGGCAGCTTCAGGGCAGTTTTGGCCCTGTTGTTGGGAAATCCACTAGGCCTTCTATTTTTTCGCTTGCGTCAGACTTGTGTCCTTCCTCCGCCCCGTCCCCAAATCACCGAGTCCCAGTCTTTTTCATGTGAAAAAGCGCGGAATATTAAAAAAATATAAATAAAAATAGAAGGCCTAGGTCTAGGCTGGTGTGCGGATAGTTTTCGTGAGGATTTGACCTCTCGATGCCTTGAGGAAAATCAGGGCTGCAAAATTATCACTGAAAAAGGAATTAATTCCAATTACAATTACTTGCTTTAAAACGTAATAAATTCCTGATTACAATTACTTGTTCTAAAATGTAATTAAGTTCAATGAAAAAATTACTGCGGAAAAAAGGAATTAATTACAAATTCCTTTACCGGCAAATTGTTACTATATATATTATAAGACAATATCTTGAACAGTAGTTGTAAATAAAAACGGTATAAACTATGAAATTTGCAAGAATTTATCAAGATGATATTTCAATATATTAAAACATTTGACATGCAAATCGAAGCATGTAAACTTAAAACTTTATTTGCCAATATTTGGTGCTCTGAGCCTCGGAATAAATTGTGGTTCCACTTTCGCAATAAACAGTACTTCATGTAGGCTATCACGTCATGTGATCTCGTTGAAAATTATTTCAGCCATTTTTCTGTATTTTTGTCGCAACGTTGTATTTTTTATTTCTTATTTTTAACAAAATAAGAAAAGGAATTTTCAATTTGCCCCTTGAAAAAGGAGCACGTTCCTTGCTTTTGTAATTAATTACGTTTTTCGTTACTTTTTTTTGCGGATAAATGTGATCACGCAGTCCCCCTATTTCTTGATGCTCATATTTTACCGGTGACCTTTCTCTATTATGAAACTATACCGAGTTTATTGCACGATTTAAATAATGGAAAAGCACCTCAAAATATATTAAACTTATTCGAGAAATCGTCCACTATTCACTTACACAGTACAGGATCATATACTTCAGAAAAGTTTTATGTAAAAAGTTCTAGACTAAACACACAAAAGTATTCTGTTTGACGGCTTGGAGTAAAACTATGGAATGAGATACCATGCCATGTAAGTGACCTATCTAAGAATTTATTTAAAAGGACCATTCAACAAATTCTATTTAAAATATTGGAAAAAGAAGATGACTACATTCAAATCCCCATGATAATTGAAAAAATTAAAAACTATAGATATTAAGAATTTCATATTTTCTACTGTTGCATGGGTAACTTACAGTACGCTATTCTTACTTTCAGTAATGTACACTAAATATTGTACAATATAGAAATAATCCCATTATTGTTAAGTCAAAACAGTTGTGACAATCCTGATCTAAGCTCAGTCTGCTGTAGTATGCTCTTTATTACTTTATATTACATATCACATATGTGTATAACTATTGTAGATACTTTATATCTTATATTTAAAATACTACCTACTTGCCCTGCCTCGATTAACTCTATAGTTATTTGCAGGGCAAGCTGTAAATATATGTAATTTATAATTGTTATTATTAAAAGTTGAAAAGTTGGAAAAAAAAGTTGAAAGTTGACTTCAAATGTAACGAGTACACAGTAACGCGTTACAATAGACCTTTCCCCTTTTGAGTGAACTTTTGATCTAGACAAGTCTGGACAAAAATTTCATCACAGCTTGAAAGGGCATCACAAAATTAGTAACATTCCAAAGTTTCGTTGCGAAATGTTGTAAAATGCGGATAATATAGCCATGCGAAGTTTGCCGTTTTTCAGTCATTTTGTATTACAAACTGATGGGAGATTAGATATCAGATAATCAGTTTGATTATCTGATTATCAATTTCCCGTTTGTAATGCAAAATGACTGAAAAATGGCAAACTTCGCAAGGCTATATTATCCGCATTTTACAGCATTTCGCAACAAAACTTCGGAATATTACTAATTTTGTGATGCTCTTTCAAGCTGTGATGAAATTTTTGTCCAGGCATATCTAGATCAAAATTTCACTCATAAGGTGAAAGGTCTACAATAACGAGTATTTACAGCGCTGAGAAAAATATCTATCGTGTTTGATATTTTTCACCTCGCGAGGAAAATATCTCAGCGTCTGCGAATAGTGCTGTGAGCTTAGTGCTGGGTTGCTTGAATCAATTAGCCAATGAAAAACCATAGTTTCTTCATGTGAGTTGGACAGGGCCGTAGCTAGCATGTATAGTTGGGGTGTTCTGAATGACGAAAAAAAATTCCGAATATTTCATGGCATACGAAGCCACGAAGGTGTTTGCTATCCAGAAAATGAAGATGCAATTTACAAACAAAAATACACATAGTTTACGCAAAGACGTATTACAGAAGCATGTAGCGCCGTAGGAAGCTCTTTTTTATTGGGGCTGGGAACGAGGGCCGAAGGCCCGAGAAAATTTTTTAATTTTGACCCTCTGAAATGCCATTTCCTGGACTTTGGGGGAAGTTTTGACACAATTCTGATGGTCAGAAAACAGAGTTTTAGTATATATATGTGATGTTACTCTGAGTATGCATCCACAGCGGGCAAGCTGAAAAGTTTGCTTGTCCACGGTGGGAGTCAAACCCGCGACCTTTGGGATACTATTTCAATGCTCTGCCAACTGAGCTACGTGCATGTCAAGTCGGTTCAAGTTGTTAATAGAGTTTTAGTATGTCGAAATTTACAATTTGCTTACAATTTAGTAGAACTAAATGGGCGAAGGCGTATTTAATTAACTATATATTGCAGGGAAGAGTATGGGTAATATGATTCTTTGCGGTTTGTCATGGATAATGTAGCCGCTTAAAATTAAATTTCCCCTTATGAGTAAAATTTTGATCTAGATAAGCCTGGAGAAAAATTTCATCACAGCTTGAAAGAGCATCACAAAATTAGTAACTTTTCGAAGTTTCGTTGCGAAATGTTGTAAAATGCGGATAATACCGGGTGGCCCAAAAAAAAGTACTCCGGTTTGATTTGTAATAACTTCTAAACAAGTAAAGCTATCAAACAGAAGTAACTTGCATTAAATAGAGGAAGGACTAACTTAGATTTTGATATATTACAGTTGCATTTTACTTAAAAATTCACGGAGATATTAATGTTCAAAATCGGGAGCATATTTTGGGATGTGTCTAAAATTAGCGAACATCGGCGTATCAAATTTTAACTCCAGCGTTTGTTTGCTTAATGACATATCAGGGTAACTTGTATTTCAGCGAATTGTCGTTAGGGTTTGTAAGGGATATGGCGTAGATTTAGACATCATACATGTAAGTCTTAACTCATTGTTTCCTGAAATATGGACGTTCGAAATTATGTAAGTATTTAATAGGTCTTTGCAAACTTAAGGTACATGAAAGACCATGCAAGGCAGGCGCTTCAATTTTTCTTAAATAACCTATTTTTTATGTTTTTCATGGGTTCAAAACAAAGTTGATTATTTCTCGGTTAGAGCAGGATGAATATTGTTCTTTAATGGAGGAAATATTATTGCTTTTTGCAAATACACATCACAGTATCAAAGATACTATTTTGTTACGTTTTGTTCCAAAAATGTTGGATGTCTCTGGGGAGTTGCTTGTTATGTCTTTACTTATATATGGAGTTGTATGGTTTGATTGTGTTTCATTCTCAGTTTATTCTGAACTTGCCAAGATTAAGAAAGGCAAAAGAGTTTGGGTGTTCTTAACAAGATTTCAGAACGTTGCAGAAGTTAGAAAATTCATTCAATGTGAAGTGAGAAAATTCACAATTCCAATGTGACAGCGTGCCCTAATTCAGAACTACGAACGATCCATGACGATCCTTCGCGATGCAGTGGTCTCATGAAATAAGGAAACGTATTCGTGCTAGGAACACACGCGGATTTCGGACGCATAAATCTTGCTTGTATTTTGTAGATAATAATACTTTGTTTCATAATAAACAATTTGTCAAGTGTCATTTATTTACAGGTAATAGTGCATGTTTCAGTCGGGTAAATCTTGATTAATATTTGATACGCTGTTTTTGGCATATTGCAGACACATCAAGAAATATGCTCCCGATTTTAAACATTAATATCTCCGTGAATTTTTAAGTGAAATACAACTGTAATATATCAAAATCTAAGTTAGTCCTTCCTCTATTTGATGCAAGTTATTTCTCTTTAAAAGCTTTACTTGTTTAGAAGTTATTTCGAATCAAACCGGAGTACTTTTTTTTGGGCCACCCGGTATAGCCTTACAAAGTTTGCCGTTTTTCAGTCAATTTGCATTACAAATGGAATTGATCATCTGATTATCAATTTCCCGTTTGTAATGCAAAATAAATGACTGAAAAACGGCAAACTACGCAAGGCTATATTATCCGCATTTTACAACATATCGAAACGAAACTTCGGAATATTACTAATTTTGTGATTCTCTTTCAAGCTGCATGTGATGAAATTTTTGTCCAGACTTGTCTAGATCAAAATTTCACTCAGAAAGGGAAAGGTCTATTGTAGAGGTGTGCAAATCCGATCCGAAACCGATCCGATCGGATTCGTTCGGACTTCGGAACCAAAATATTCATTTCGGATCGGATTGATATAAAGTTGTTTCGTAGTCGGATCGGTCGGACTTCGATATCCGAAATAAAATGAATTTTAAATAAAAATATCCAGCATTTTCGCAAGAATTAATTATCCATGCATTTATCAAAGTATCATCGCGGTTGTCGCTGCATTATTCGTTTGATCAAGTTCGATTGAACGTCACTTTGTAACCTTCTTGATATGTATTTCTTGCTTTTATATTTATTTGCTTAAATATTTCAACTTGAATGAGAAATTTATTTTATTAAAGAATTCTTCAGATCGGATCGGAATTCTTTTTCAAAACACGAATCGGATTCGGATTAGACAATTTCGGATCGGATTCAGTTAAACATTAGGCAATCGTCGGATTATAAACGTCCAATCCGATCCGATGCACACCTCTAGTCTATTGTCAGTATTTTAAAGGTATATTATTTAAATGATAAAGTTGTGCATGCTTTTAAAAAAAGAATGATTATCAGCAAATTATTGTAAGGGCTGTTGCCCCCAGTCCCCCATCCCCCCGACTTATACGGCCCTGAGAAGTAATAAACCGAAAAACATTTACTGATTTACGATTCGTTTTACGTTATCCATGTAAATGCCGTGATTTCGTAAATCAGTTTATACCATTGGTTTATACTGACAATTAATACCAATTTATAATATTTTCTCTGTTTAAACAACTAAAGTATTGTTATACTATTATTGCCGTAATTTTCCGAATGGCCAACCCGATTTTCCGAATATGTCAATTCTACAAAAGTTGGGGGGGGGGGTTAACCCCCCCCCCCAATACCCCCTCGCTACGGCCCTGGTCAGTTGGAACAAAATGGAGAAAAATGCAAATGATTTTGTCAATTAATATGTTGTTGTTGAGTAGTTTTCCCAACGTGTGCGGTGAAAATACATAGCTGAGCTAGCCGCCACTCGAGGCGGTTAGCTCAGCAGGTTGCTCTCGTGTGCGGCAGGCTTAAGAGTCGTTCAAGAATTTTTTAAGAGAAATTAGCAGGTTTTATTGCATTTCCGGGCCTCTGTGAAGTCTCAGATTTCAAAATTTGCCGCATCCCCAGTCCCCCGGTCCCAGAAGGCTTACGCCTTTGGCGTTCGCTACTCCCCCCTCCCCCCAATCAAAAAATGCCGCCGCGGTAAGGGCTATAGGTTTACCGCTGGTCACCCCTGGTCATCGTATCAGGCTCACCCCTGGTCATCGTATGACTTCACATTTTTTTTACGATTAATATTTCACGGCTTCACGCTCGTCAAGAGAGCTTCCCCGCTGGTAAATTTAGTTCTACAGCACTGACTATAGTGATGAGTTACAGGACACGCTGAAACATGTGCATAACATAATTTCTCGCCGTATAAGTCTTGCCCAACAGAAGCAGAAGAATTACGATCGGCAACACAAAACAGACAAAAGTACTGAGTTAAAGGAGGGCGATCGGGTATGGTTAAATAACCAAGCAGTCCCAATTATAGGGATTGAGCCACCAATTTTCAGTGGGCTGGAGCTTTACGTGGTTCTAGCGAATCTAGGTCGCCTCACTCGCCTGGGTAACTTGAATAGTTCAGAATTCTCATATTAAACTTGAATCTGGGACTGGAAAAGGAAACGTGGTATACCGAAACGGGCGAAACCGTCTTAAGTTGGACAAGAAATAATCAAGAGGTAATTGCATTGAAAGACCCGAAGAAAAACAGCCGGATTACCGGATACGACTACGTACGAGCCAGGGATACTGTACTTCAAGAAATCCCTGCAGGTACACTTGTAGAACCGGCTCTGGGCTCCTTTACGTTGCTCAGCACGTAATGGCAGACAGTTTGAAAGATATCAAGACTATGATTTAATGAACAGCTTAATGGATGTTGAGATCGAGGACGCTCTCCGCTAAAGGAGAGAGTAATGTAGCCTGCGTGCAGGCCCAAGGGAACGCAGGCTAAGAGTAATGCAGAGAGAGTACCGTATTTACTCGATTGAGCGCCGCCCCCGATTGAGCGCCACCCCCGAATGAGCGCCGCATTTGAGATCAATTTTTTTAAGAGAGCGCCGCCCCCGAATGAGCGCCGCACTAAACAGTGTGAAAACTTTCCGCGTCAAAATTGGGACATTTAGTGACAAAAACCTTTTAAAACTTGTCTATTTTATAGTTAAAAGTTCTTGTCATAATTCACAAATAAAATATTTTTTAAAGAGCGCCACCCCCGATTGAGCGCCGCCAATGAGCGCCGCATCTGAAGCTCTAAAAATTTAAAGAGCGCCGCGGCGCTTAAACGAGTAAATACGGTAATGTAATATGCATGATTTATATGCGTAGTGACATGAAGTAGCGTACAAGAGATATAGACCGTGGGCGCAGGGACGTCGTTGTTGATCAGTGTTTTGTCTATTTATAAACAGTGTAAGAGATAAAATTTGTAAAAAGAAATATAGATTAAACTAAAGGAGTGTTTATATGTCGACACGTCGTTGTATACTACAATGTTTTGATCTGATCGCGAACGCGCTCACAGAACGCCCGGGGTGAACAGAGCTGCGAACAAATTGGTAAGGCCATTATTCGTGATGTTCAAGATACTGGGTGTGTGTGTGTGGGGGGGTCATCTGAAGCCCCCTGAATATAAGCCCCCCACTCCCGTAAACGCCAACTATATTCCACCATTGCAAATATAATTCCCCCCAAATATAACCCCTCCAGTCCCTCTGTGTATAGCTCATGGGTGCATTATGCACCTATCAATGTTAAGCCCCAGAGGGGGTGGGGGAGTAGGGGGGGCATTTGATTTTTTGAGCAAATTTTCAATCAAATGCCCCACCGTCGGGCAATAAATATTGGTCAAATGCCCCACCATTTTGCAATAAATTGCAATAAATACTATATTAATAACAGTCATTTGGTTCAAATTGCCCCAACTCAGGGCCAAAATGCTAATCAAAATCCCCAGGGTGGGGATGCAATTGATGATCAGATACCCCACATATGCCCCCCCCCCTCTGGGGGTTAACATTGATAGGTGCATTACTGGTCAGCCAGGAGTGGTCAGGTGTTTATTAATGAAGTGACATGATTCCAACAACTCAGATGAGGTACGATAATTACATTATAGTATTGCAATATGTTAATAGTTTGATTATGTGTTTAGTATACATCCTAGTCGATGCATGCGTTTTGATTCATTAATAGTTTACAAATATGGTATCACACAAACAACACATAACTCAGTTATCTGCCAGTTGATGACTGAGTTATATGTAGGTTGAGCCAGCGGTAAGTTTAAATATACATGCATGAATCAGCCTCGTACCCAGGCGCTATGTGTTGTTCTATGGCTTGCATGGGCGTGTGGATTAATTTGATCGATTCAAAGCGCCTGGGTACGAGGCAGTGCACGAATAGAAACGTACAGGAAAAAACAATATGAACGAACAGCATTTTCTTAATACTTTTTGTGCAAAAAGCAGATTTATTTGATATCTTATTGGCATTTTAGTAGATAAATGAGATTTCTAATATTTTTATGTTATTGTGAGATTTTTAATAATGTTTTTACTGCTCGCGGCCTTTTTTTTCACCAAACATAGTTTTGTGAAACAAATTATTGTTTGTCAAAGAGTTATAAAAATGCAATGTATAACTGATTAACCCAATGAGTTGCATTGCACCCTGATGCACCCTACTTTAGTATTTTACTCTGTCTAACGCCAGACGATTTTACTCGTCAAGGGGAGAGCGCTGACGCTTAATGGGTTAACTGGCCTATCTGCCCATGTGTCTAGTTAACCCATTGATTGAGTTGCATTGCACCCTGATGCACCCTACTTTAGTATTTTACTCTGTCTAACGCCAGACGATTTTAGTCATCAAGGGGAGAGCGCTGGCGCTTAATGGGTTAAACAGTTACTGCATTTGTTTTTTATGATAATCCATAAATAACCCATTATCAAGGTCTTGGTAAGTGTTATCAATCTTGCCTTCGGTTCAATTGATGACACCTACCTTATTAATTGGACCTGCAGTGGTTTCAAAATAAGCCGTCGCCCGTCGCAAACGACTGCAACTCTTCCATTTACGACGGCTACTTTCTCTTTTGTAAGTAACTATAAATTCTAATTTGTGAGCAAACAAGCGTGTATTTCCCTTGGAATTTCATCAAAACATAGCCACAGTGAGAGAGTTACTAGATTAGAAGCTTTGATATTTATGCACCTATCAATGTTAACCCCCAGAGGGGGGGGGGGTCGGGCATATGTGGGGTATTTGATCATCAATTGCATCCCCACCCTGGGGATTTTGATCAGCATTTTGGCCCCAAGTTGGGGCAATTTGAACCAATTAACCTTTATTAATATAGTATTTATTGCAATTTATTGCAAATTAGTGGGGCATTTGACCGATATTTATTGCCCGACGGTGGGGCATTTGATTGAAAATTTGCTCAAAAAGTCAAATGCCCCACCTATGCCCGACCCCCTCCCTCTGGGGCTTAACATTGATAGGTGCATTACGCGTCTCTTGTACGTTGAGGACAGGCTCAGAGGTTTTCTTGGTGGCGGTTTCTAACAGGTTGTACTTTATGTAAGATGTCACATTCGTCTCCAAGAACAAAAACAAAATGGCGGGAAAACGACAACGAAAGCCAGCGGAGATGTTGTCGCTATTGTTATTGGACGTTTTGTTATAGGCATTAATTATAAGAACATAAATTTAACAGTGTTTTAGACATTTAAATATGATCTTTTGTGTCTCAAAAACAAATGCGGCTGGAAAATGTATCTTCTAGAGTCTAGAAGTTCAAAATTTTCTGGAAGTAATATCAGGAACTGCTGAACAGGGGGCTGCCCCGGGCTGGGGGTTTTTAGCCCCTCAATAATTTTCCATACATATGTGATTTTTATAAAATAAGAATACTGAACTCTTTCAGATCAGTTAACAATACCGGGTGTCCCAAAAAAAAGTACTCCGGTTTGATTTATAATAACTTCTAAACAAGTAAAGCTATCAAACAGAAATAACTTGCATTAAATACAGGAAGGACTAAATTAGATTTTGATATATTACAGTTGTATTTTGCTTAAAAATTCACGGAGATATTAATGTTCAAAATCGGGAGCATATTTTGGTATGTGTCTAAAATTAACGAAAATCGGCATATCAAATATTAACTCCAGCGTTTGTTTGCTTAATGACATATCAGGCAAACTGGTATTTCAGCGAATTGTCGTTAGGGTTTGTAAGGGATATGGCATAGATTAAGACATCTTACATGTAAGTCTTAGCTCATTATTTCCTGAAATATGAACGTTCAAAATTATGAAAGTATTTAATAGGTCTTTGGCTTTGCAAACTTAAAGGTACATGAAAGACCTTGAAGGCAGGCGCTTAAATTTTTCTTAAATAGCCTAATTTTTTTATGTTTTACATGGGTTCTAAACAAAGTTGATTATTTCTCGATTAGAGCAGTTTTTTGTCTGGATGAATATTATTATTTAATGAAGGAAATAATATTGCTTTTTGCAAATACACATCACAGTATCAACGCTACTATTTTGTTACGTTTTGTTCCAAAAATGTTGGATGTCTCTGGGGAGTTGCTTGTTATGTCTTTAATTATGGAGTTGTATGGTTTGATCGTGTTTCATTCTCAGTTTATTCTGAGATTGCCAAGATTAAGAAAGGCAAAAGAGTTTGGGTGTTCTTAACAAGATTTCAGAACGTTGCAGAAGTTAGAAAATTCATTCAATGTGAAGTTAGAAAATTCACAATTCCATTGTGACAGCATGCCCTAATTCAGAACTACGAACGATCCATGACGATCCTTCGCGATGCAGTGGTCTCATGAAATAAGGAAACTACGTATTCGTGCTGGGAACACATGCGGATTTCGGACGAATAAATCTTGCTTTTATTTTGTAGATAATAATACTTTGTTTCATAATAAACGATTTGTCAAGTGTCATTTATTTACTGGTAATAGTGCATGTTTCAGTCGGGCAAATCTTGATTAATATTTGATACGCCGTTTTTTGCATATTTCAGACACATCCAGAAATATGCTCCCGATTTTAAACATTAATATCTCTTTGAATTTTTTAGTGAAATACAACTGTAATATATCAAAATCTAAGTTAGTCATTCCTCTATTTGATGCAAGTTATTCCTCATTAAAAGCTTTACTTGTTTAGAAGTTATTACGAATCAAACCGGAGTACTTTTTTTTGGGACACCCGGTATACCTAACATTTTGTTGGCCTTCGCAACAATGGTGTTTATGTGTAGTTTCCATGAGAGTTTTGTAGTAGTCGTAATACCAAGGTCCTTTTCATGGTCAACCCAAGTTAGCTTTTCGGTCCCAAGGGTGTATTCGTAGATGATAGGCGTTTTCTTTTGTGTGACGGTGAGGACTTTACACTTAGAGGCATTGAAGAAGAGATTGTTTTTCATACTCCACAGATGTAACTTGACCAATGAATGTTGTAAGCTTTCACAGTCGCGAGTCGAGATAATATGTCTGTGAATTTTCGTATCGTCCGCGAACAGGGCAATTTCAGTTCCGTTATGTATGATGTCTGGGAGATCGTTAATGAATATAATGAACAAAACTGGTCCAAGAATGCTTCCCTGAGGCACACCTGAAGTGACTGATGACCATGCAGAAGCTACTCCATCCACAACAACTCTCTGAGTCCTACCGTTTAAATAGTCAGCGAACCAATCAAGAACAGATCCTGTCACGCCGTACGAACGCAGCTTATCCAGCAAGATATTACGGTCAACGGAGTCAAACGCTTTGGCGAAGTCCAGGTACAAGACATCAGTCTGAGTATTCTTATCTAGATCTTGCCCGATAGAGTGGAAAGCTGACAGGAGTTGGGTGACACACGAGCGACTTCTCAGAAAACCGTATTGAGATGGACTGATAAGGTTCACAACATGGTCATAAAATCTCCAGTAAATGCACCGTTCTAAGGTCTTACTAATGATGGGCAATAGCGAGATTGGTCTGTAGTTCACAGCTGGTTCTTTGGAATTCTTCTTGTGCACTGGAGTAACATCTGCTGATTTCCACTCAGAAGGAATATGTCCAGATCTTAGTGAATGGTTGTAAAGAGTGCAAAGGCTTGGAGCGATTTGATGACTACATTCTTTCAGAAGGCGGGCAGGAATTCCATCAGGGCCACTAGCTTTTGAGACATTGAGATTCAACAGACTGCTTACAACTTCTTCGACATCGAGCGTGATCTCACTTAGTTGTGAATCGGTTGGTAGTCGAGAATTGCGGGAGTTAGTAGCTTGATTAGTCGTTGAAGGTTGGAAAACTGACGAGAAGTAGGAGTTAAAAAGTTCGGCTTTCTCAGTAGGTGTTTTTGCCACAATGCCGTTATGTGAAATGACAGCGTTTTGAGTTGACCGGTGATGAAAAACAGCTTTATGATAGCTCCAGAACAGTTTCGGGTTGCTGCGGAAAGACTCTTTAATCTTAAGTAAGTAGTCACGATGTTTCGTTCGAACTAGATATTTGATAGTTTGACTTATTTCACGCAGCTTTCGCTTACGATAGTCAGTTCGAGTTTTCCTATATTTCTTCAGGGCAGCATATTTCTTTCGAATATGGTATCTTACTTCTCCGTCAATCCAGGGAGGCGAGTTTTTGTCCTTAACTTTTTTAACAGGGATATATTTCTGAACAGCGTTTAGGAACCATTCTTTCCATTGTGACCAGCACTCGTTAATATCATCAGATGAAATAGTTTCACAGGGCTTGCGTGTTAAGTAACTGCGGAGCTCATCAAAATTTCCCCGCTTATAATCGAAGACAGTGCGTGTTACTGGGTTAGCACGACGAAACGAATGTTGGACCTCGAATTCGATGATGTTATGATCGGTTGGAAAAGTTAATTGTTCGGGTGGAAGTGATGATACGTTTTTTATAATCTCAGGACAGTTACAGAGCAGCAGATCAAGCTTGTTACCATCAATGTGCGTGGAGCCAGAGATGAATTGTTGTAGGAAACTATCGGCTACCAAATCACAAAATGACTCTTCAAGTTGACCTCCATTAGTTGCAGGCGTTGGTTGATCGAGAGACCAGTCAATTGCTGGAAGATTAAAGTCTCCTATCAAGATAATGCAGCTAGATTCAGGATTACTTTGAAGCGATGCATTTAGATGTTGTATTACATCAGGGCAGGAATTAGGAGGACGATAAAAGGTATACAGGAGAGCTGTTTTGTTGCTTTCCGCGGCAAATTCTACGACAACAAGTTCCACATTTTCTCTTTCAAGATCCATTCGACGAGTAGCATGTATATTACTTTTTACCGCAACAAGCACACCGCCACCAATCTTTCCCACTCTGTCACGACGGAAAATAGAGTATCCACGTAACAATTTACTACTGAGAACAGTTTCATTAAGCCATGTTTCACAGATACAGATAAAGTCATATGTTCCACTGTAGACCAGATGTTGTAGTAATGTAATCTTACATACTTTAGACAAGTGATCGTTATCTGAGGGAACGAAGGCTTTTAAACTTCTTGCGTTAAGGTAGAGAGCGTTTAATGGGTTCGATTTTAAATCAAATATCCGATTTGAAGTTATGGTCGGTCCAGGATTGATGGCAACATCACCAGTAAGTAAAATACATAGGAAGAGCTGTGAGTAATTATTCTTGATATGAAACTGCAGTCCATAACGATGGTAATTCTTCAATGGAAAGTTATATTTTCGAATAATACGATCGCGCGTAGATGTCCAAAGCAAACACAGTCTATCAGATATTGATGCAAGTTCCGAGCTGATAGAAATGTTTGAAAAAGTAGTTTTTTAATTTCGTCGTAATATACACTTCCAGGCTTCGAATTTTCAGATAACAATAAGACGATTGCGGTTAAAATTAAAATCCACACGATACCAAAATACAACGAACAGCCAGGAGTTTTACAGTAATTGTTGAACACCATGTTCAAATTGATCGTAATCCAATTTACGCGCAAAAAACAACAATTTCACGCTAAATTGCGCGAATCAGGTCAGTAGGAATTCGTTAGCTGGTTAAATAGCGTCAGCACACAGTCACGCATGCACGCGCTGGCGATTGTCAACGGAAAAGTCTTTTAATGACAATTGAAAAGACCAAATCCACGTAAACTTGTTACTTTTTCGACTAATATAATTACAAAAACTGTTTGCAAACCTCAGATTACCACACACAATGTTCTTATCCACAATTTTCAATTTAAATTTGATTTCAATCTTCAGTTATAAAGGTACAAAACAAAGAGTTTTGCAGAGCGCCCAGCGTGCGTGCGCACGCTAAGCGCGATCACGTATTTTCCCGCTTTAGTGGTATTTATTGGTATTTACGATTTGGGTATTTAAGAAGCCACGTTTGCAATTTTAGATCACCCCTGATGAAGACACTAGACTGGAGTGTCGAAACGTTGGGTCTTGATTACAATTCGACTGGGCTTTGTGTAGTAATCATTTATTTAAACCAGAGTAGCGAGCGAAACATGACGTTTGATATTTTTTGAGTTATCGTTCTGACAGACAAACACACACAGAGACACACATGCCAACAACTAGGCATGAGAATTATCCAAAGTTGTGAATTCACTGCATTCGCACGAGATCATTGTTGGTGTACCAAATGAATTGTATATTTACCCTTGGTCTTATTCTTTGCCATATATCTATAGTAAATATTGTACTAGCACTGTTGTACACTGAGGATAGTGATGACATTACTGCCGCTAACATTACTGCCATCATTATTCCGACCATCCCTGTAGGTAACAGATTGAATACCAATCTAGAGGTGGTAGCAAATTAATTGAGTTTATTGATTGTATACATCAGGACAAATGGTTTAGTAATTACCTACGATAAACAGAGTTTGAATGTTTATCATCAGCACATGTCTGGATCATCATCGTCAACATCATCATCATCATCATTATCATCATCATCATCATTTCCATATATTTTGTTCAATTTTAAGTGATGTTTTTTGCTTTAGTACAATTTAGCTGTAGGCTTTTAACGCTAATAGTCGTTGATAAGTATGAATATCATTACCTATTTTGTAATGCGACAGAAAATTGCAACGTTAGTGTCATTAGCGGAAC